ATCTTTCCCCTCCCTCCCCCCTATCCTTACTTTCTCTCCAACTTCCATACCCATACATAGTGATTGGGAAACACCATAATGCTGGTGATCTTGGTCTCGGTCTCCAGTGATACATTGTAACACTTTATTATCTTTACAACCTTAGTTCTTTCATTGCTGCCCAGGGTAGAAATCTTCTGGTTTCTTGGCTGCAGTCTCCATTGGGTCTGATGATTGAACCAAGGTATATAAAATCTTTAACAATTTCAGTTTCTTCATTCTCAACATTAAAGTTGTTTAATCCCTCAGTAGTCATGATTTTGATATTAATGTTCAACTGCAGTCCTGCTTTGGCGCTTTCATTTTCACTAAAAGTTCCAAGTCATTGCTTTCATCTGTATATCTTAGATTAGTGATGATTCCATCGCTAATGTTCACTCTTCTTTCATCTGAATCTAGTTCTGCTTTCCATATACGTTCTGTGTACAGATTGAATAAAGAGATAAAATGCATTCTGTCTCTCCAGAACGTTCTGTCCTAATAGCAGCTTCTTGCCCACAAGTTACCCATCAAGGTTGAAAGCCGTCAGAATTCACAGTCACCCCAGAGACCTCCTTTTGAAGGGAAAGAGAAAGGAAGAAAGAACACTATCGTGCTGAAGAATGAATTTTGGGAGTATGCTTATCCCACCCTAACCACCCCTGGCTGGATACCCTGGATAAGGCTGGACAGACCCCACACTGTCTTAAGCAGGAGAAAAGAAAGAGGGTCCCTGGTCTCGGTTGTTGTTGTTTAGTCATTAAATCATGTCCGACTCTTCGTGACTCCATGGACCAGAGCACGCCAGGCCCTCCTGTCTTCCACTGCCTTCCGGAGTCGGATCAAATTCATGTTGGTAGCTTCGGTGACACTGTCCAACCATCTCGTCCTCTGTCGTCCCCTTCTCCTCCTGCCTTCACCCTTTCCCAACATCAGGGTCTTTTCCAGGGAGTCTTCTCTTCTCATGAGATGGCCAAAGTATTGGAGCCTCACCTTCAGGATCTGCCTTCCAGTGAGCACTCAGGGTTTATTACCTTCAGAATGGATAGGTTTGTTCTCCTTGCCGTCCAAGGGACTCTCAAGAGCCTCCTCTAGCATGACAATGCAAAAGCATCAATTCTTCAGCAGTCAGTTTTCTTTATGGTCCAGCTCTCACTTCTATACATCACTACTGGAAAAACCATAGCTTTGACTATGCGGCCCTTTATCAGCAAGGTGATGTCTCTGCTTTTTAAGATGCTGCCTAGGTTTGTCATTGCTTGCCTCCCAAGAAGCAGGTGTCTTTTAATTTCGTGGCTTCTGTCACCATCTGCAGTGATCATGGAGCCCAAGAAAGGAAAATCTGTCCCTGCCTCCATATCTTCCCCTTCTATTTGCCAGGAGGTGATGAGGCCAGTGGCCATGATCTTAGTTTTTTTTGATGTTGAGCTTTAGACCATTTTTGGCGCTCTCCTCTTTCACCCTCATTACAAGGTTCTTTAATTCCTCCTCACTTTCTGCCATCAGAGAGGTATCATCTGCATATCTGAGGTTGTTGATATTTCTTCCTGCAATCTTAATTCCAGTTTGGGATTTATCCAGTCCAACCTTTCGCATGATGCATTGTGCATATAAGTTAAATAAGCAGGGGTACAATATATATCCTTGTCATACTCCTTTCCCAATTTTGAACCAATCAGTGTTTCCATATCCAGTTCTAACTGTTGCTTCCTGTCCCACATATAGGTTTCTCAGGCGGTAGATAAGGTGATCAGGCAGTCCCATTTCTTTAAGGACTTGCCATAGTTTGCCATGATCCACACAGTCAAAGGCTTTTGCATAGTCAATAAAGCAGATATTTTTCTGGAACTCTCTGGCTTTCTCCATAATCCAGCACATGTTAACAATGTGGTCTCTAGTTCCTCTGCCCATTTGAAATCCAGCTTGTACGTCTGGGAGTTCTTGGTCCACATACTGCTGAAGCCTACCTTGTAGGATTTTAAGCATAACCTTGCTAGCGTGTGAAATGAGTGCAACTGTACAGTAGTTGGAGCATACTTTGGCACTGCCTTTCTTTGGGATTGGGATGTAGACTGATCTTTTCCAATCCTCTGGCCACTGCTGAGTTTTCCAAACTTGCTGGGATATTGAGTGTAGCACCTTAACTTTTCTTTTAAGATTTTAAATTAAATCTTTAACATCTTTTAAGATTTTTAATAGTTCAACTGGAATGCCATCACCTCCACTATTAGCCATGCCTTCTAAGGCCCACTTGACCGCTTTCCAGGATGTCTGGCTCAAGGTTAGCAACCACACTATCTGGGTTGTCTGGGACATCCAGATCTTTCTGGTGTAATTTCTCTGTGTATTCTTGCCACCTCTTCTTGATGTCTTCTGTTTCTTTGCGTTCCCTATCATTTTTGTCCTTTATCATGTCCATCTTTGCACAAAAGGTTCCTTTAATTTCTCCAATTTTCTTGAACAGATCTCTGGGTTTTCCCTTTCTATTATTTTCCTCTATTTCTTTGCACTGTTCATTTAAGAAGGCCCTCTTGTCACTCCTTGCTATTCTTTGGAAGTCTGCATTCAATTTTCTGTAACTTTCCTGATCGCCCTTGCATTTTTCCTTCACTTCTCTGATATTTCTAAGGCCTCGTTGGAAAGACACTTTACTTTCTTGCATTTCCTTTTCTTTGGGATGGTTTTTGTTGCTTCCTCCTGTACAATGTCATGAGCCTCCATCCAGAGTTCTTCAGGCACTCTCCACCAACTCTAGTTCCTTAAATCTGTTCTTCACTTCCACTGTGTATTCATAAGGGATTTGGTTTTAGTTTATACTGGACTAGCCCAGTGGTTTTTCCCACTTTCTTCAGTTTAAGTTTGAAATTTTTCTCTACGAAGGTGATGATCAGAGCCACAATCAACTCCTGGTCTTGTTTTTGCTGATGTATAGAGCTTCTCCATCTTTGGCTGCAGAGAACATAATCAATCTGATTTCGGTATTGCTCATCTGGTGATGTCCATGTATAGAGTCGCCTCTTGTGTTGTTGGAAAAGAATGTTTGTGATGACCAGCTTGTTCTCTTGACAAAACTCTATTAGTCTTTGTCCTTCTTCGTTCTGAACTCCAAGGCCAAATTTCCCTGTTGTTCTTTTTATCTCTTGACTCCCTACTTTAGCATTCCAGTCCCCTATAATGAGAAGACCATCTTTCTTTGGTGGCAGTTCTAGAAGGTGTTGCAAGTCTTCATAGAATTGGTCAATTTCAGCCTCTTCAGCATCGGTGGTTGGTGCATAAACTTGGATTACTGCACTGTGATGTTGAAAGGTCTGCCCTGGATTCATATGGAAATCATTCTATCATTTTTGAGATTATATCCCAATACAGCTTTTCCCACTCTTTTGTTGGCTATGAGGGCTACTCCATTTCTTCTACGGGATTCGTGCTCACAGTAGTAGATATGATAATCTTCTGAATTGAATTCGCCCATTCCCGTCCATTTTAGTTCACTTACACCCAGGATGTCAATGTTTATTCTTGCCGTCTCCTGTTTGACCACATCCAGTTTACCAAGGTTCACAGATCTTACATTCCTGGTTCCTATGCAGCATTTTTCTTTGCAGCGTCGGACTTTCCTTTCACTTCCCGGCACGTCCGCAGCTGAACGTCCTTCTGGCTTTGGCCCAACCACTTCATTAGCTCTGGAGCTACTTGTCCTTGTCCTCCGCTCTTCCTCAGCATGTTGGACGCCTTCCGACCTGAGGGGCTCATCTTCCAGCGTCATATCATTTAGCCTTTTGTTTCTGTTCATGGGGTTTTCTTGGCAAAGATAATGGAGTGGCTTGCCAGTTCCTCCTCCAGGTAGATTGCGTTTAGTTAGAACTCTCCACTATGACCTGTCCGTCTTGGGTGTCCCTGCACGGCATAGCCCATAGCTTCTCTGAATTACTCAAGCCCCTTCGCCACGACAAGGCAGCAATCCATGAAGGGGGATTGCTGCCCTGCTCTCTAGTCCCTGCCTATTGAGGTATCCCTGCTACAATTTAAGGCAGATCCCTTGAGCGCTTGATCAAAGTTCCTGTCACTAGGAGTGGAAAAAGGGGCATCAATCAGCCTGGAGTTGAGGAAAAGGTGTCGATAGTAATCATACTGTAATGACCTGGTTCAAAACTGTTTAATATTACTGTGGTTGTTAAGTTTACTCCTGGTTCAGTAAATCCTGTTAATTTTAATAATACTGCATCTCATTGTATAGAATAAATAGAGGGAAACCCATCAGCCTGTCTGGAATTGGTGGTTAATCATATATAATGTATTTACAATGTACAATTGTCACGCTATTTATAGGCGTATAAATACAAAAAAAACCCCTTAAAGTGCTGTTTAGTTCTTATACACCTGTAAATATGCAAGGCACTGAGATATCTAAAATACACTATATATTTATTATTTATGTAACATACGTACAGTATATAACGTATTTATATATTGGAAAACACAACATTGCAATACAGTATATAAGTGTGTGTGTGTAAGTAATATGCACTGTTATGTTGTCATTTACAGACACGCACACACCAGAAATGACAAAAATCCCACGGCATTTAAAAAAATAAGGGGGGGGGGAATCCTGGCTTTCTCTCTAGACCGGAAGTGCAGGATTAGTCGTCGTCGTCCCCCCCCCTCCAGTCACCACCGTGCGGTGACGCTCCTTCCGGCGCGTGGTCAACAGGGTCCCCCCCCTTCCACCTCCTCCTCCTCCTCCTCAGCCCCCGTTTCCGGCCCGGG